AGAATAACTAGGACAACATTATTTTGCAAAATACTATTGTGACCCAATACTATACAAAGCATATAAAGGAAAAACAATACTCAAAATTTTCCAGAAATGGTTTGGTTTTGTTTTTTACACCAAAGAATTCACTATGTCTACTGCCTTTAGAGGTACTATTTATTTACTTAGACATAACAATATAGTAAAATTAGTTTTCAGGCCTTCTAAGTGTGTGAAACCTATCTTCTGTCAGAAACAGTAATTCCTGACCCTTGCTTGTTAAGATTTTGCAGAACATTGGGCTAATATAACCTTCCATTGCCTCTACTTCCAGAACTGATGCACTGAAAACTCCAGTACAAATTATAACATCGACAAATTTGCCTTGGGGAAATCACTGCCATCCAAGGTTGCTTTTCAAGGCTACAGCTGCCAATAAAAGAAAGCCAACTGCTTCTTTTTTTTTTTTTTTCAGGGGACAGAGTCATTATCCCCGTGCTACAGATCTTATTCTTATTACAGATGCATAGAGCCTTCCAACTAAATAGCAAACACTGCAACTTTTGAGAGTTTAATAGTTATCTTCTAAGAGCACTGGAACAGGCTGCCCAGAGAGGTTGTGGAGTTTCCTTCTCTGGAGACACTCAAAACCTGTCACAATGTTTTCCTGTGTGACCTACTGTTGGTGATCCTGCTCTAGCAGGGGAGCTGGACTAGATGATCTTCAGAGGTCCCTTCCAGTGCTGACCACTCTGTGATTCTCATAACAATAATTTTACCTATCTCACACTATAGTTAATTAGCAGACATGCAAAAGTCAGTTGTGCTTTATGCTTGGCATATCCAGATCTGAAGAAGTACAGAAAGCTGGAGAATTTATAGTTAAAATAGTAGCTCCAGTGAATAATGTTCATGGTCTTCCATAGAATTTTTATAAACATGGGAGTTGCAATACCTGTATGATAAAAATCTGGTCAAATCTTATGGATTTTCCAAAAGGAAAGACTAACTAACATAACTGATCTGCTGCTTTTTCTTGGAGCATGAAAACACCAGGGCTTTTTGGAGAACTGTTTGTAAGAATTCACACATCCCAAACTGTCTTTCCTTCCTAGCTGAATTTTGAAAACAGTAGGATTTTGACAGGATGTTAAAAACTTATCACCAATCGGCAGAAATTTGCCAGAGACTAACCCCCCACCATGTAAACTGCCAATGCAAATAACTAGTAGGGGCAACTCAAAACCAACAAAAACATTATGGCATAATGGAAAGTGCTGAGCAATCCAAACTCCAGATGTGACAACAGGCTCCGCCTGTGGTATGGTCGGTCTGCTGTCACAGTAAAAATGCACCAAACTGCACCTAGAACACCAAACAACAACAACTACAAAATCAAATTTAGCCTCCAAATGTAAAACTGTATTTTCATGGGCCTTTGGTAACAGTTTTTGTGGGAGCAAGCTGTGAAGCTGGTGTGGAACAGGACAGTCCCAAATCAGAGGCAACAACTGTCAGAGGCAACATTATCACAGAGGGACTCAACCACAGGGAAGTGCTGGAGGAACAGTTTTAACAAGGAAGTGTGAATTAGCTAAATATGTACAGCATATCAGAGTGATAATTAAGGAGACATAATAAACTAGAAACAAAAGCAATAGCCATATGCTTTAGAGACTTGTATGTGAAGATAAAACAAGAATAATCAAATAAAAAGAAGAAACACAATCTCAAGCAAATGATCTTGACATTGAGGTATCAGCTTGTGGAACAGTCTGCTCAACAGAGGGACTGAAGTTGTATTGTCTGAAAGCTTTGCAATAAACCTAAACAAAAAGATTAGAAAAGACTAGATGGTGAGGACTCTGCCAATGACACAAAAAGACAGAACAGATGAGATAGTACATTTTCAGCCTTTTGAGTTTTTTAAGGCTGCTATATATACCAAGGATGGTCTACTTCTCAATGCTTATGTGAAGTAGGTATTAAAGACTACACATGCCCTTGATCTGGGGAAGAAACTCTGGTTATTATTGATGGAAGTTCAGAATATAGCCTTGGTACAGTTATATAGCCCTAAGCATGACAAATGTGAAGACATAAAATTAAAATAATAAAAAAAAAGAACCACAATGCCCCAAGGCTTTATCTTAGTTGAGGTTTATCCATTATTCTATTTACATGTTGCTATAGCATAGAACTAAGAGCTGGCAACATATAACAAGATTGTGAGTATTAAAGCACCCAGCAATGATGCAACTAAGTTTCAGATATCTCATTATCTAGTGAAATTTATAACCCCAAGTAAGGTACCTACACTCTCTCCACATGTAGAGAACCAAGTATGCTTGAAATCCAGCATAAGACAGGAAAAACTAGTAAAGTCAAAAGTAAGTGATAGGGAAGAGAAAGATTATGTCTGCATTTTCCAAACAATTTGAATTCCTAATGATAAATGACAATAAGATGCCTTATTTAATCTAGATCACATCTATAAATCCTCTCCATTCTCAAAAACCAGAGCTAGAATTGCTGGTGAACTCTTTAACCAAGAGGAAAGCGTGGACCACAACCCTTTTAGTGCAACGGACATTAAGTATTACAAGGAAAGTCATGGAACTACAGAAAATATGACTGAAAAACCCCAGGAGGAATAATTTTATCTTCTTTTAAGTAAGTCATTCCAGTGGAAGACACGACTTTACATAACTCTGGGCAGAGGAATAAATTATCATTCGAGCAGAATTTAAGTAATTTAGAATTTAACTACTGTTCTACTCAGTAAAGTAGGAACAGTACCACATATTTTATTTTTTTAAAACTTATTTATTTATTTATTTATTAAAAAACAACAAAACTAACTCTTAAAATCTTGGCACTTAGACCTCACTGCTCTAACAAGGAGAGGAATGCCTAGCCTGCAGCCATGCATGGGGTCTGTGATTTGCGACAGCAGCTCCACCCTGCAAGGTCAGAAGCACGTTTAGGCCCTGCTTCACATATCTTGGAATTGTCCTGACAGAAGAGCACAGGTTCCAGGGACCTTGTGAGATCTCTGCACAGACACCAGCTAAGCAAGTGCTGTGGAATTCTCGTCTCTGGATTTTGGAGTTCACACCTCCCTAATAAGACAGGAAGGCTCCAGTCTTGAAATGTCTGAAGTGGAGTGCAGACTTGGTACATGGTACATGCATATTATCGAGCTCTCTGTGTTCATGATTGCCATCATGGGTACACAGTCCCTAAGAAAACACAGGATACCAACCTGATCTCCTTTTCTGAAATGAATGCATCTGCTTATGGAGCCATGCTCAATGTCTTGTACAACCAGAATGGCATAATTGTGTCATACTTAAGAGAGAAGCATAACAATATGTAATTGGATTTTTTTCCTTCTTCAGATATATACACATGCATATATATACCTCTCCCAAAATATGTCCTCCACTCACTGAAAAGGAAACATAACAACAAGGGCTACAGGACTACCACACACCCTGTTTCAATATGCTAAAACAAAGAAAGATGAAACTTGGTTCTACGTTGGTCTCTAAATCAAGGAAAAATTGAGGCAAAGACTTGTCGCTATATATCTTCTCAAAGTAAGTTTTGCAGGACTTCCAATCGGGCTTTGAGTCCCTTCTAATAATTTCTAATTTAGTAGGAAATGCCTAAAATACACTACATAAAACAGGATAAACAAAGAAGGCTGGTTAAGAACTGTAATAGGGTGAATACTCCCCTGGTCTACTCCAGTTTTCCAGGGCATAGCATTTCCTTCAGTCTTGCTCTCAACCCAGTAGCCTTTCACCAGCCTCCTGCATGGCACCAACCTCTACTCAGAGTCCAGTCCCTCAGAGAAGTCCTTCCACTGTCTGTGAGCCACAGCTCTACACCTGTGTCCTGTGGTCACCTCCCTGCTCTGACTGTGTGCATGGTCCCTCTGACAGCCAGAAACATCTCCGCCTGCAAATGGTGTCTGCGTCTCATGGGACGTATAATATCTCTGCCGGCTGAACAAATAACATCTCCATGATCCTGAGTATAGCAGCCAAGAAAAACAACTGGCAGCCTTTCTCTCTCCTTTAATAGCCAGCTTTTCAAAGGAACTTATATTAAACAAGCTGAAAGCAAAACAAGCTAAAAAACAACCAAAGATATCTGTCACAGTTCTCAAAAAGCTTATCACACTGACTCACGTCTGACATAAGACAATTGTACTGACTTACTGGAACCACACTTATATCAAAGGGAAGATACAAGTAGTTAGATGAAATTAACATTGTATATTAGCATGTATTTTGCAATCCAGAAGCACTTTTAGTAAACTATAGAAAAAGTTGTATGCTGAACTTCGATTTCCTTAACTACCATAACACAGGCTAAAGCCAAGTGATAATTCCTAAGTCATTTCCCTTCTTTGATTAAACAACTTCTAGCTGCATAACAATTTCACAACTTTTAGCTTCGTAACAACTTCACCTAGGAGAATACTGACATTTATTGTGCTTTCCTGATCCAGCACCCACTTTAAATAGTCACTTTTCCAACTAGTCTTAACTCTCAGTTTATCCAATTCAGCTTTCTTTCTGAATCTACATAGATATATATTATATATTCAGCCAGTTATCCTGGCTGCAGTGCCTAAGTTACAGCTTAAAAAAAACCCCTTGAACTTGTCCAAATTTCAAGCTTTAAATACATTAAACCAGCAGCTATACTGCTCATTATCAGATACCTGTTTTCTGTAAAAACTTGTTCTTATTGCTTCATTTCACAATTCAGAATCTGCATAATGACACTTAAATATACATATAATTCCTCAAGAGTCTCATCTACTCCTAAAAACTTACAACAGGAAGTCAGAGACATTTCTGATAAACAGCATATCTTGAAAGTCATTCATGAAAGAGGGAATTAATTTGGATTCCTCCTTAAAGTAATTTTTCATTCCCATTTTCCCATACCCCCTGCAAACATTTTTCTCCAATCAAATCAAACTACTTGATTCTTCTTACCTGTATGTTTTGTAAAAGAGACATCTTTTCAGAGGGACCTTAATCACGTGTTCCTGAAGGCCCACAAAAAGGACACTCTGGCTGTGCAGGATCTGAAGGCTTCTGATAGGTTCTCGCTGACTTTTCGGCAGCAGTTCAATTTCCTCAAGCAGGCAGCTGCTTGAAGTCTGGTTCATCGGGGCAAGTACTTTCTTAATAGTGCCATAGTCTGCAAAGGCAAGGGGAAAATGTGTTACTAAAAAATCATAGGAGCAATTCTACCAATTGGTGTCATTCACTGAACAAATCTTTGTCCTATGCCAGATGTTTTCAATAAAGCCTCAGAATGTGGGAGTACTCTGAATGCAGTTTCCTAAATTGCTTATATACAGTGAAAAGAACCTGAAAACAGCCATTAAGGTTTTCCATGCGATATAATACAGTAAAAATAAAATTATTAGTGCTGAGCCGACTTCGCAGTAGTAGTCACTAGAAAACAAGCTTTCAAAGTCTGGCTACTATAAATGCACATGCACAGTAAGAGCTACCAATCTTAAATTGTCAGATTGTGCTACACTTTACTATGATTAAAGCTGTTTAAAAAGCAATAAATTCCATCATTACCCCAGGCTGTTTTAAAATTCTATGTGTTAAAAACTATGGGGTTTAGATATGTATAACTTTCATTAAACAAAGCACAAGTCTTATTTGAGTCTAGGTGAATATAAAAATAAAAAGAGGCTGCATCCCTCTTCTTACTTACCTGGATTTTAATCTCTGAAAAACTGTAACTTACAGCATTTGATCTTCACTTCTACTCTTCTTGTGATTTTTGAGCAAAGACAATTAGGCATCACAAACCAGTGTCAGACGACTGACGAGATTTCGCATTAATTCATGCAGTTTTTAAATAATTTAAAAATACTAAAGAACATTTGTTCTGAACACAAATGACCATATTCTCACACTGATAAATATTTTAGGTAGCTGTCTGACAAAAACTGCCTTATGCAATCTTCTGTGTGCCAGCAATATTAAATGTTAAAGATCCAACACTGCAAACACATACTGAGATTTGCTCCTACTCAAGTCTTTAAAAATTGTAACATCTCTTGTGAGCCAGACAAATGTTTGGGATGCTATTCTGCAGCCCAGTAAATCTAGTTTTTACCATCACTAGCACAAGACCAGAGGCTTGGTGGGCAGCTGGCAGCACAGGTATCTTGATGCCTGGTCTTGGTGAGAACTGGTTTTAGCTGTGGCAGCAATTGGCTTCCCTGTGGCTTCCCTGCATTGGCCTTGCTCTGGGAGTGGCCGGGACATGGGCTGGCACCCCTACATAGTCACTGCGGGATAAACAGCCCCTCTGGGATCACAGGCTGGGGAGGGAAGCATGCAGCTCCCAAACTTTGCCTGGGAAGTGGGGAGGAACAGCAAGTAAACAACGTTAAGTAAATGCAAAAAAATAGCCTCAGGCAGACTCCAAAACTGACGAGTAGGTGGAGAACCCAAGATGCTAATTACTGTTAAAAGTCTCCTCCCCACTCCTGAGGAAGACTGAATAGTCAATCTTAAGATCTGGAGAAGTACTAGAAGGGAGAGCATAACAACAAATAACAGGAAGACTTAGTAGGAAGCTATATGTAAGATTTAAACCATATTAGTAACAAAACTTTAATCATTAGATAATATGGAGTTAACATTATTAGACAGTCAAAACTAGTTAGAGGAACCATAAATGCTTAGCTCAGTGTATTAAGTGGATTCCCCTTTGTCCATAACACAATTTTGAGCTAAACACATCTTATCTGCATGTTAAAGTCTTCTGATTGACCTTTAAATTCTTTATACAATCACTCCATAAACTGTTTACAGTTTCCTCCTTTCCTGGTATAAACAAGTTTGTCAGGATTTACTGTATGTAAGAGTAATTGTTAGAAAAAGCTTTTAATTAAATGACAATTTTGATTTTCATTAAAATATAGTATATATTATATTCTAAAAAATCTAATTTGACTATCACTTTTTTCAGACAACCTAAAGTAGAGTTATATTCAAAAATAAATGGAACTTTTGTTAAGAGTCAGTTTAGTCTCACGATTAAGTGATAACCAGCTCAAATGAAGAAAATAACAAGCAGTGCTTCCACTGGTAATTGCTGGATGCGAAATATCAACTATAATTATATGAAGTTTCAAGGACAAAATACGGTCTGAGAAGCTCCCAGAAAAAAAAAAAACACAACAGTGTCTGTGTTATTTAGACACTGAGTAAAAAAAACCCAAACAAACAACAAAAAACAAAATCAAATTATTTTTTTGGAGCAAAGAAGTTGAAAAAGTGTACTAAGAGGAAGAAAAGAATCAGTGAGATCATTTAACACGTGTGATTTAATTGGTCTTGCTTTATAGATCAGTTTTTAATGCTACATCACTTGTCTAACTGGCAGCCAACAGATTCAATATATTGCATTTGGTTTGCCATAATTTTCCTGCATGAGACAAAAATCAGGTAGGTGTTCAGCACATGTTTCACCTACAGAATAATATTTCTTCCTGCTACTGTGCTGGGTCTGGCACCTACACACTCAGTCACTTCCTGTCACCTCCCTGAAGATAAAAGAGAAGAAAAAAAATGTAACTGGAGGCCTCCTTCCCCCATGCTTACATACACATTTAATTCAGAAGTACAGCTTTGGACAAGATAATACGATCAAACCCAAATTTGTTCATTGTAGACAGCAGATTTGCTATTTTTTATGTCGAGGTCTATGACTTGGAGAATTTGGTTACAGCAGCATGCTACCACAGAACGACATAAACTATTCTTACTTTGAGAACTGCATCACTAGTATCTTCCCCAAGACAGCTTCCATGGCTCTTGGTGTTCCTTCTTAACTTCACATACATTCTTGATTCCTCTTGTTTCCTTTTGATTTGTTTCAGCATTTCCCAAACTGTACCCTTCCCATTTATTGTCTAGCAGGATCAGCACTCATACAGAAATGTCAAAATGACTGGGCTTTAAGTGCAGAAGCAGTGCATGAGATCCCATAGATTACCAGGAAGAAACCCCACTCTTCAGAGCAGCAATGTGGGTCATACACAAGTTCAGTAAAAAGGACTAAGAAATTATCTGGGATTTACCTCTGCCTAAACTCTCCTAACTCTGAGCTCCTATAACCTGTCTTCTCTGCTGCCTGTTCCTCCTGCCTATGACTATGCTTTTGCATGGACCACCTGGGAGCCCAAACTAGGGGGAGGATCTGTTTTTACCCTGCAGCTTTGAGACAGACACAGATTGAATTGGCAGCTATGCTCATCAGACTATGATATATAGCGAGGGTATATAGCTATCAACCTCCTCAAACTAAAGCAGCATGTCATACTGGCTACATTAGGCTTTCTTACAGCAGAAAATCATAACCATTTGCACCAGTACTTTCCAAAGCTAGGTGCTTTTTTCCAGTGTTGAAAATTCTACTACAATGTGTGCAACATTATGCATTCACCCTCCATCAAAGATGGCAGATTTCCTAAATAATTTGTACATATACTCAAAAGTGTTGTCTCCTCAGCTATTTTCATACCACATTGTAAAGAAAAATTAAGAGTGAAGGAGGGAAAGAAATGAGTCTTGAACACAACTCTGGAGCAAGGAGGTTTTCACCTGTCAAATCTTTCAAGTGAATATTTAGTTTACAATCAAACTAACTGTCCATTTCTGCCAAGAAATAGCTAAGAAGAATAGTAAACAAAGACCCTCCCAATGGATGTAACATCATTGCCATGGACACAAGGAAAGTTCCAGTTTCATCACAAATGTCAAGGCTGAGTCCAACAGCTATTTAAGAATTTGAATGAATGTCATCTTCACATCCTGTGTATAAGCAAGACATGCTGGAATAGATCCAGACATCTGACAACCTTGGTTTAAGGATGACCAAGTATTTACAAAAAGTAATAAAAGATAACTACATTGGCCAGGATGAGAAAATAATGTGCTTTATTAACTTGTATGGCAATACTTTTAATGAGACCTGCAAAACCAGCAATTGAACATTAGAAATCTAATCACTGTGAATAAAGACAAAGAGGAAAGAAAAATTATAGTTGAAATATCACTATGTAATGCAGAGAAGACTATGTGAAGAATTGACCGGAAAACCTGAGACGGAGTTGTAGAGAACAAGCTTGGAGCCAACTGAGACTGTATTGAACTAAACAATAATAGGACAAAATCAAAGGATGATCTTTAAACTGAAAAGCAAAGTTCAAGACGTAAATGGCATAAAGCATAGTCAGCAATGGAGAACACTGCAAGAGTGTGGTTGAAATCACTGTAACATCTATAGTGACACCTACAAAGGAAAACAGAAAATGAACATACAAAAAAAGCAGCAGATGCCACAAACTAATAAACCTGTAATTTCTTGAGTTTCCCAACAGAACTAAGAACACTCAAAGAAGCCATAGCAACTTCTTGCTGTGGAGAAGAGTAAGTATTTATATGAGTTGTTATGTTCACAAAATATCACTGCATTCTTCAAGCAGAAAGTTTTTTAGCGAACCATCCAACATGAGGCAGTATTGAAGTAACCTCATTTCAGTTCAGAAAAATGGGAAAAAATCTCTACCCATTCTCTTTTGGAAACACTTTAAGTCTAAACTCTTGCCATATTTGCCAGTGATATACAATCTAATTTAATATTTTTATTGTAGCTTAGTGTGCTACCTTGAAGAAAAGGCTGATTTCAGAAGAGTAAACGAACCAGCACCAGAACACAGAATCCAATAATTGATTTTCAGAGGAGAAGCCCACGGTATCACCTTCAGTAATGTTGCAAAAAATTACACTGACACCTTCTAAACTATCCTATAATCACAGAATCACTTAGGTTGGAAAAGACCTGGGAAAAGATCATCAAGTCCAACATCAACACTACTCTACTATCAAGTCCAGCACTAAGCCATATCCCCTAGGGCCTCAACTAGATGACTTTTAAACACATCCAGGGATGGTGACTCAACCACCTCCCCAGGCAGCATGTTCCAATGTCTGACAACCCCTTCGGTGAAAAAGTTCTTCCTTATGTCTAGTCTAAACCTCCCCTAGCACAGCTTGAGGCCATTCCCTCTTGTTCTATC